GTCTATCTGTGCTAGTCTTGTGATGGTTTTTCAGCCTGTTTGTGACGCTTCCTCGCCTTCTGCCCAGTGCATGCTGGGATGGGCTTGAGCACCACATGACTCTGACCACAAATAATCAGAATTGGCACTATAAGTAGAGCATGGCAGAATTTTTAAAATCCAGATTATTCAGCGCTGTCTGTCAGTGTGGTTTTATGAATGACACAAAGCTTTCAGGGAACGCTCTGGTACACCCCATTGTCTCCATTTGTGGCAGCCGTGAGTCAGTGATGTCAGTGTTAATACTGCAGCCTGAGTGCACAAAGCCAGTGGTGGAATAACACATTTCTAGGAAACTGCAGCAAAACATACAGTGGTTCTCCTGAAACAACATGCAGCCTATTTTCTGTTCGACTGTAGCTGTTAGGGATGAGTGGACGTAATAATGAGTTTATGTGGGATGTCGAACACCTAGTATATGTTTAATACTTAGAATAGATCACTTCTCTTGTTCTAACCAGTGATTGTTGGTACGGAACAGATACTTGTTGGAAGGATGTAGGAAGTTCAAGTTCAATCCTCTGCCTCCCTTTCAAGTTTCTCTTTAATCCATAACATAATAAAAGAGGAAACACTCCAGTCAAGGTGAAATCTCATAGAAAAATAATAAAGTGGAGATCACTCACAATACAGCATGTGGGAAACATAAATTCACCTCATTTGACATTTACATTTTCTTGGCTAAGTTGGGGAACTATTAGTAAAATACTCTGACATAAAACTGTAAGATAAAATATGTAGATGTTCTCAATAATAATAATAATAATAATATTGTGCCTGACTTACACGACAGAGCTCTGTGCAGTAACAGAATTATTTTAGGAGCCACTGAGAATAATTCAAATATTCCGCATTTGCTTTGCTAAAACCATTTTTTTAAGAGGGTGTTTTTACTCTGATTGGCTAATTTGGTGACATCTTTAACAGTCTGAGCCGAGGCCAGGAAAAACTGATTGGTTCCACGGACAGATGGACGGTTTTACAACCAAACAATTTAAACAATATTGGTCTGTTGCCTTTTAAGATCCCATAAAACCCAAATCTGAGGTTGTTTCATGTTGTTAGTTTCAAATAAAAATATGGGTGGTACTGCATGAGTATGGGACAGCCAATTACAACGAAATGGTGTGGGGTGGTGTGATGTGCTTCAGTTATATTCACCAGATGCATAAAAAACATGCATGCATGCAAAAAATAAAAAAGATCCAAGCATATTAATCTGTAAAAAAAACAAAAACAAATAATTCCCACATTGCACTTTCTTCCTCACTGTGAATATCCATACCATCATATAGAAGAGCCATAACCTCAGGTCCACCTGTTCCCTGTGTGAAATAGGCAGTTTAATTACATAGATGAAGAATAAACTGCCTTTGTGCATGAAAACACTGCCCTCTCCTGGACATGTGTTGTCATGATGCGTTCTAACACCTCAGTCCATGAATACTGAGTCGATGGTTAGAGGTCTGATATGAAGAGTTCTCACAAGTGTTAATCTATAAAACGCAAGATAAACTTATCTTAAGCATTGTTTGATATATTCCTTTCTTCTGTTACTATGATATAAGAAAGAAAAGCTCTGATGCTCTGTCTCTATTTCCGATCTAACAGTGAAGAGCATTCATAACATATTTCTTTAAATTGAGAGGACACAAACTTGCACCAGTGTGTCACAGCTGACCTAGCCAAGCTCTGAAGCACAGCTTTTACTGTATACACAGTTAACCGGTTAATCAGTTGCTTTAAAGCAGCTATTTGTAAGTTTTGCTACATAGACAGCATTTGCATGAACAGCTGTTTACTTACTTAAAATATTGATTGATTTAAATTTTTCCAAGTCATGATAAACAAACCCAGTAAATCAAGCCACCCAGGGCCATTCCATCAGTGAACAGTGTTTTTCTATTTCGCCTTGTCTGAATAGAAAACAATCATGATAGTAACATGGAGCCCCCCGGGGGCCACTTTGCTTGAAATAACCTCATCTGAGAAATACTCTTTATTCCTCTCCTCTCGGTGTTTAAGAGGCTGTTGACCCAGACAACACTCAAGACTCCCATTTACCACCCACAGGCTTACACTGTCAGAGGAACATGAAACATGATGCTATGCCATGTTTTCTTGCAAACTCCATTTTTATAGGGCTGCAATTACTAATTATTGTTGTCATTGCTGAATAATTTGATTATTTTTTCGATTAAAGTTTTTTTTTTTTTTTTTTTGTGCTACAGAACAATATTTTTATGAGCTGATCTCCGTCTTGTTCGTTCTTGTGCTTAAACATAAGGGAGACACGATACACATACCTGCCAGTGGTTTCACTGCACAAAGACCGACAAAAGCAGTGAAAAAGAAGGCTGCTAGTCAGTACACATGGAGGTAAACAATGTAGGTGGCAACTTCAGATGTCTTGTTTTGTCCGACTGAACGTCAAAAACCCAAAGATGTTCAATTTACAGTAAAAAAAACAAACAACCATATCCTTACATTTCAGAAGCTGGAACCAGAAAATGTGATTATCAAAATAGTTGATAATAGCTGATTGATTTTCTGTCAATCATCATTTCAGCTCTTATTTTGAAAAAGCTTCATTTCAGCATGGACAAAGAATTGTAATAAATTAGAAATTTTCTGTAGCACATTCTAATAAGGTATACTATGTGACTAACGGCTCTTTTAATGGTAAAAAAAAAACTTATTCATGCTTTATTGATCTGATATTAATTAGGTAGTAGGAACAGCATTGGTCTTACTGTAGCTTGACTGCTGAACTTCTAAAAAAAAAAAAAATAAACAGAGCATTTGCACCAAAATCCATTTTGGAAACAGTTACTATTATCTGACATATAGTTGCAGTTTGCTGTACCTCCACAAGATGGCAGCAGACATCACACCTTGACTTAATTCAAATGCATTCAAGGTATGTCTTTGTGATTTAAGATGACAGTTGAACATACCAGCATTATTACAAGCATTCGGTCTCCTCTCTGAACTATGATCAGCACGACCTGCCTCAGATTCCTTCAGGGATTTTTATGATGAAATAAATCAGGTCAAAGAGTCATTTAAACAGGGGAGGCTGTTTCCATTGCATCAGTGGAGCGCTCTGCAGTGCCAGGGAGTTCCAGGAAGAAGCACAATACCTAACATCATCTCAGAGTGGAGACTGGAGCAGGTGCTTTACTGTCAAATCTCAGATCTGCTTCTTCACTTCCTTGTGTTGTGTATGTGTGAAACCCAGAGTTACACCTTTATCTCTATGCTCCATGTGGAAAATCAGAAACAACCAACATAGTTATCAGAAAAGTTTAAATTCCTCAAGAATATATATATATATATATATATAGGTGACTGTAATTTCTGTTTTATCAAATGCGGTCACAGGTATCAAAAAATCTGATGAGGCTCCCATGTGCGCCGCATGCAGCCGGTCATGAGGAAGTTTGTGAAGTCTGTTATTTAAAGGCTTACGGTACATGTCTGGGAAGCTTTAATGACCCCAGATCACAAGGAAGGATAAAGTTTACTTTTGTGGCCAAGGGACAAGATGAGCTCACACAGCCACACAATATACACCACAGCCCATTTCCTAACACCTCTCACTTCACACCTCACTAATGCTCGCACCCTGACTGTAACTTTAAAGTAATGTTACCCTTGTTTGACATTTTGCAAGAGGTGGCTGAGAAGATTGACACCACTGTCACGTCTCTATGAACCTGCCTACCAACACCACCTGAAGCTCACTTATTAAAACTTTATGTCTTGTTTGTTTAAAGAAGCAAAGTGTAAATACAGGACATTGTGGTTTTCAGGCAGGTTATGACTCTTTAAAGGTGTTGTTAGGCAGATTTGGTTTCCTTTGGGCTAGCTGTTCCCCATTTCCAGTTTTTAATGCCAGCCAAGCTAAGCTAACTGGCTCCTGGCTTCATATTGAGTGTGCAGACATGAGAGTGTGTCGTTTAAGTTCTTCTTTACTTCTTTTAACTTGTGAATGACAAACTTCCTCTCCACACACACACACACACACACACACACACACACACACACACACACACACACACACACACACACACACTTCTCCTGATATTCATTACTTGACCCATTATTAGCCTACTTTTTAGGGCCCCTGTTGTCATCGCCGGAGGAGTGCGACTCTGATGTGTTAGGCAATCATCGGTTTGGCAGCTTCCCAGCAGCTGAGGCACTCCAGCTACCCTGTTGATACCTAATCTGACTCTTGTGCGCTCTCTCTCTCACTCACTCACACACTCTCTCTCTCACACACACACACACACACACACACACACACACACAAATGTAGACATGCAGGCAGGTATGTGCATGTACATGCACACACAATGCTTACGCAAGCCCTGGCCAGCCATGCCTAGAGTAGTCATAACACATGGAGGGTGGAGACATGCCAAGCTCTTATAGGTCAAACAGTGAGTCACAAGAAAAAATGGAATGGATATAAAAGAACATATGTATTTGAGTTTAAATGGTGCCTGGTGTTCAGTGTTTGATGAGTTGACCTCAAGAAAAAAGGAAAGTATGCTCCGTCTTGCGTATTCCAGGAAAAGACACTGACCCATTATTGACATTTGTGTGTTTGAGGAGGTAAATGTTACATTACGCAAAGGTCAGAGAAGAGTAAGTGGTTAGAGGCAGAGATGGAGAGAGGGAGAGTCTTTTATTTTTTTTTTCCTCACTCGCAAGGATGAAATTGAAAGTGCTGAAGAAAATGAGAAAATGTATCGGGTTCACTCACAGTGATGAAGAGCTGTGTGGTGAGGATTCTTGCAGGGAAACCTTCCAGGCATCTGGTCGAGCTGTGTAATGTAATGTGTGTGTGTGTGTATGTGTGCGTGTATGTGAGAGAGAGAGAGAGAGAGAGAGAAAGAAGCAGCAGTAATGAAAAAAAAATCTGTATGAATATGAAAAAATGTGATCTTTATTCAACATCTCCACACATATTTCAAATATACATATTTACATCTTTTTTACAATGAATATAACTCTTGTGTGTAACCTGTCTGGAGCAATAAAAGCCTCTAGGTTGTGTCACAAATACATAATTCACAGTGCAATATGAAGTTTGTGCACCCGTGTCAGTTTACTCTACATGTCACATGAACGTGTGACTCACTCTACATGTATAAACCGAACAAAATCATAAATCTCTTAAATTACTTTCCTGCAAGGAACAACCCAGATTGTCACAAGTCTGTTCCCATCTTAGCAGATGAGAGAAAATAATGCTGCAACATACGTTTTATTAGCCTCCTGCTTGACCCACACATTAAATGCACAGCGCTTCTCAGATATGCCAGATTTAGTACCATTGTCAAAGTTATTGTACCAGAACAAAATAGCTGGCTGCAGACCTACAGTAGCCTGTAAGGCTAGACGTCACTGAAATACTGCATCCGCCTGTCACAATCCAAGATAAAAAAGATCTTTTAGAAAGTGGTACATCATGTCACTAACTATGATGACAAGTCTGGATCCACAGCTTTCAACGGCAACAACAACAAAAAAAAAAGTACCATTAAAGAGGTGAAACAGTCAGAACAGATTCTTCCAGCCAAGGTCAGGACCATTCTCTACAGACGCGCTCAAGTGTTGAGTCATCATCAGACAACCAACATCAAACATTGCCTGACTGTGACTGATTCAGAGCCGTTCAGTTTATGAAACACAGTGATACGGGCACAACACTCGGCACAGCTCAGCTTTTGTTAAAGCAACACAGCTTGACATAATGTTCCGACACAAATGAACAGAACAGGTTCAACTGCTCAACTGAGAAAGTCTTCATTTTTCCTGTAATGTCTTTCTCTCCTTAACTGGATATTTGACAACATTTCTTTAAAAAAAATACAAGCATCGTTGGACTGAGAGAAAATGTGTATTGCATTGGTGGGAAGTACCATTTGAGTTCTGTGTATTTTATCACTGTAGCACACCTTCAGACTGAAGAAATAGCTATCTCCTACCTCTGTTGCTGCTGAGGCGGGTGACTGATTTTTAAACCAGAAGCATTAGTGTTAGGTTTCAGTGTGGCTAATTGCGCACCCTGCATTTCAGAAGAGTCAAATTTGCAAGGTCCGACCCTGTTATAAAACACTTCCTCTTTGGAAGCAACCTTTTCCTATGAAATATTCGGCTTTTAGCATGCTTTTAAAAAAGATAATGATTTAATTTTAACTGTTGGCCCTGTGCCACTGCTTATTTTTGAGTGCGTGTGTGTGTGACGAAGTCGTCCCACTTTTCTGTGAGTCTTACACCAGTAACACCCTGCCTTTCTCAACCTTCTGCGCATGGTGCGAGATTTGTAAATGCTCTCCACTTGCTGAGATGTTGCCAGATTGGCAGTGTGACACCTTCGTATCGTCCTGCTGAGTGTGACACATCAGTCCTCTGCTAAGCATCTTTCTCACTCTATGTCACTGCCTGCTGCGAGACGTCGAGCTTGTGCTAGGTCCTCTTTGAGCCGGTCGGTGACTCAGCCGGTGAAGCCTCCAGCCTGGTCAGAGAGTGAGAGGAACAACATCCTGGTCTCCTCGCTTCCCATTCAGGATTCATCTAATGCTTTCTGAAGCCTCATGAGTCCAGGCTGAGAGCAAGCATTGGTGACTACTGTTTGCCACGAGTTAAATTTCTGTGATTCACTCGTAGTAGCCTGCAGAGATTATTTTGTTAACATAATCTGGCAAGTTTCGGGTCCTTGTTATTTCTTTTAGCACCAAATAATTTCAAAATCGCACATATAGAAACACAATGAATGATCATTGTGAGCAATGCCCTTAGCAAGTAACACATATACGACAACAAAATACAGTACAGTAAGTTTTTGTAGAAAGCTTGAGGGTGTATGTACACACAACAGTAGACAAATGAGTTTCTAAAAAGTGCCAATGTAAAAAAAACAACAATGAATCCCTCATGGCAATTTTTTGTTTTGGTCCCTCAGCCAGTCTTAGCTGAATCAAGTCCGTCAGCAGAACAGATTATCGTCCTCTTCCACGTCAAAGGAAGGCACCATCTGTTCTGCCGAGTTCACTTCCTGTTCACCCAGCGCCGCTTCCTGCGACGACGGCGGCTGGTGGAACCATGGGTGAGCGAGCAGCTCAGTCGCCGTGAGTCTCTCCCAGGGTTCTTTCCTCAGCAGGCTCTGGAGCAGACACTTGGCCTTGGGCGACAAGCCCTCTGGCAAACAGCACTGGCCTCTGCGGATTTTGGAGAACAGCGTGGCCGGGTCTGGGTCGTGGAACGGGTAACGGCCAACCATCATGGTGTACAGCATTACCCCCAGGCTCCACATGTCAGCCATCTTGCCCGAGTAAGGAGCAGAGCCGCTGAGGATCTCTGGGCTGACGTAAGCAGGGCAACCGTGGGTGTCCGACATTGAGTCGTCGTTTGGGTCTTCCAGGACGCGACAGTCCTCGAGGCTTTCTAGTCTCACCTGTGTCCTGTGAAGAAAAAGTCAGAGTAAGGTCAGAACATGTGGCATGACCTTTAAGAGCACAGAAAATGTTGAAAAATGTCTTGTTTAGTACATAGGGGATTCCTCTCCGTTAGCTTAATGCCCACTTACAACAACTACCCCTAAGCCTCAGACGCCGTGTGACACAACCGCAGCTTGAAGTGAGTGCCTTAGTCGTGCTGTAAATTAGGAGTGCTAAGAGAGATGCCATGGCAATGACATCATCTGTTATCTTTTATAGCATGCATCTTTGCACGTTATGGTGAAACCTAAGAACGCAATGTTCGTAACCCCATTCGAATCTGCATTACAGAAGTAGAATATTTTTGCTGAATGTCATGTTGGAAATGATGTTATCTAAGTTCCTCCGTACATCAACTTTTAAAGCACAAGATATTCTTTGATCTAGTACACTTCTGTGTGTGTGTCTGTCTGTGTGTGTGTGTGTGTGTGTCTGTGTGTCTGTGTCTGTGTGTCTATCTAACAGTGACTTTGTTTAACACTGTCAAACATTTCAGAGATCTGTTAAATGTAAGCCACTGATTGCATCATGGAAAAACAATCATCCATCCTTTATCCTTAAGCTGCACAGAAGACAGACAGATGGACACACACACACACACACACACACACACACACACACACACACACACACACACATATACACACACACACACACACACACACACACACACACACACACACACACACACACACCATTGAACTTAATATGACCTAAGTGCACAATAGTGAGTCCTGTTTAAGACGCAGCTACTGCCTAAGCAAATTTCCAATGACTTCCTGGTGCACACATGCTCAGATAAACACATATATAAATATACAACTCCAGCACCCCCCACCCCCCACCCCCCAACCCCCGTACTTCACACAACAGCTGCTATATTTAGCCCATGTTAACGACAGGACGTGCATTTAGTTCAGTACTAGAGCAATTAAGATTGTGAGAGTATATCTGTAGAACGAGTCATTTAACGCTCCTACAAAATGATTAATGGGACAAAGAAAAATATCCCTAAATAATTTCAAGAGTGATTAATTTTCTAAAGCAACAGATGTGCAGTGTGTTTAATTAAAAATGAATGTGAGTGTCTTGAGATTTGCTCCCAAGGCTGACACACAGATTGAGTCTCTTTTTTTTTTAATCAGGTCAAACACACAAACACACATAAGAAGTGTGCTGTTTTATCTCACACTCAGAAGGCTCGACTCTGTGAGACACTTCAGTCGTCGAGACACAGCGGCCGGAGAGAGAGAGAGAGAGAGAGAGAGAGAGAGAGAGAGAGAGAGAAAAACAGACAGCCAGAGAGAGGATGAAAAGATTGACAGCCAGAAGGACCAAGATAGAAAGCAGCTGATATTTAAACACCAAGATAGTGGAGGAGATAAGTCAGCAGAGGAGAAAAAGAGATGGAGACAGAAAAGGAAACAGAACAGAGAGAGTTAGAGGGGTGGAGAGAATGACTCATCCTTCTGTTGAGAGTACATATCTTCTCTCCTCCTCTCTCTCTCTCTCTCTCTCTCTCTCTTTCTCGAGCCGAGGCTATCTGCACCTGGGTCCCACACTCGCGGCGCCAGCCATCCCATAATTACCCTCAAATGGCTGTTGCCACATCAGTGACGCACGGGAAGGCTGGCCCGGCAGTGAAGCTCTGCATGCTTCACAGTGCTAGTCACCTTCCCTAAACTGGCTTTTTCAACTGCACTGTGTGTGTGTTTGTGTGTCTGTGTGTGTGTGAGTGTGTGTTTCTGTGTGTCTGTGTGTGTGTGTCAATGGAGACAGCATTTGTCAAATTGTTGTGACTTTCTCTGTTTCTGGCTTGAGCGCTGCATTGTTGGCCAGGACATTGCATCACGGTGTGATTGTTGGGGTTTGAAAGATGCCTGATTGTGAATTTGGAAGAATGTGTGACGGAATAAATGAGGTCATGCAGAATTGCAACATTTCAAAGAGACTTATGTTATTATGTTGATGTGAGTCAAAAAGTCAGGCTGTGATTGGACAGAAGCGGCAATCTCAGGGTGCATGAAACTGATTTTCTCGCAAAGAAAAGAAAAAAAAACAAATTCCATGATGTCACACAGCCATTTAATGGTATCATCAAAATCTGCAGCTGTATCACAGTAGGATCTGTTTTTTTTTTTTTTTGTGGCACTACGGCCAAAGAGTAAAGAGAAGTTAAAAAAAAGAAGATGTCACCCACAACTCTAGGATCAAATGGGTCTTGTGGGTCAGTCTACCAGCATTAAAGTTGCCATGTCGTCACCTTGATAACAAAATACTGAACTGCAGACATTTGAGCCTGCAATGGACTACAGCTTTACAGCTCTGAATGTGTAATCAGCACACATAACAAGCTCTCATGTACGGACACACGCGCACACACACACACACACACACACAAGGAAAGAAAATGAGCTAGGCAGCCCCCCCCCCCTCCTCTTCCCCTCTGCGTATATACACTGTGACTCATCGCTCTGCAGCCGTATAGCTATCAGAGGGGGCACAACCAACTTCAACTTCTCTCTCACTGGCTGTCTGCGCTCATTCATCCAGCGTGACCCTGAAAACCCAGAGGTCATGGCTGGAGAATGTTACTGTTGAAAAAGTCTCCATGAAAAAGGGCATTTTGAAAAGCCGAGTGGGGGGGGGGCGGCCGGCCGGGCGGAGGGGGTTGCGTGGGATCAGCAGGCGCTTACAGGAAAGAGAGTGACGCAAGGGCAAAGAGGCGACAAATAGTTTTGTAAGCAGGGATTTTGTGTGTCTTCCTGAACAGAGAGGCAGACATTAAGGCCTGTGTGTGTGTGTGTGTGTGTGTGTGCGTGCGTGTGCGTGCGCGTGTGTCTGTGTGGGGGAGCGAGTTCAAAGGATAATGCTTTGAACTACTCCTTCATAGATGAAAGTGTATGTGAATGAATCCTTGTTGGGCGCACAGTTATGATGTTATTTATTAATAAATAATGAGTAATAAATATATTCTAAGATACAGACCACAGAAGGGGGTGATTGTCTCATTCACCAGCCTCGTCTAGCAGCTCTGCCAAACTACCACCCACTACGTTCACACATGCACACATGCACACACACACACACACACACACACACACACACACACACACACACACACACACACACACACACACACACACACACACACAGGCATGCAAAACAAACGCACAGCAACACGCATACAAAGAGACACTTCGAGAGTGAGAAAGGAAGACAGACAGAGAGGGCGAAAATCTGGGAAGCTATGCAGTCTGCCTCCACAAGTACAGAACCTCCTACTCTATCTGAACCCACATTGATATCTGCACACATGGCCTGTGTGTATCAGCTGCTGCCATGTTTGCTCTGTGCCTTCGCCGGCACGTCCCACCACACTGCATCTACTTAAGTCTGAGAGCATCTGAATAAAAGCTAACTGATACTTTTAAGACCGGATGAGAGCTGGTTTCAAAGGAACGTGATGCTGAACAAGCGGATGGTTCCGCGCGGCGAGAAACTTGTCAGCTTTCCAGGTGACGTCTGAAAAAGTGAGCACAGTAAAGCCAGCGTTCCTGTCATCTCACCTTTTCTCATCAGTGAAGACGAACTTGCGCAGTTTGAGGTCGCCCAGCACGATCCCAGCCTGATGACAGTGCGCCACAGCCAGAGCCACCTGACGGAAGAGCCTGCAGGCGTGCTCCTCCTCCAGCCTGCGACAGCTCTTCACCAAGGTGTGCATGTCCCCAAAGTCTTTGTCAAGGAACACGTAGGCCTTGCATTCGCCGAGGATGATGTCCCTGATGCTGGCCACATTCTTGTGGGCAGGCAGGATCCCGTAGGCTCTGATCTTTTCCTGGTATACCCCCATATCAAAGACCTGGGAGAGACATGGGAGTAGAAGGAGAGGAAGGACAGGGTTGCAGGATGGTAATTAGGAAGATGGGAGGAGGGGGAGAGAGTGAGTGTGAGAGGGGAGGGAAGGGAGGAGGCAATGGGTCAGTTTGTTCTTCATGATAATCTGAGGAAACAGCCATGCAAATTTGGCAGCCAGTTAAAAACAGGCGTGGGATATGCTCTGATTCCAGCTCAATACATTGCTTTTGCAAGACCATGACAAATGAATCATCAAAGCCTTTAACTTTATTAATCAACAAAGCCAAACGCCTGCAGGTCTCTCATGCAAAATAAACGCATGGATCTGGAACAGTGGAGGGACCGACCGTTATCAGGAGCAGATCCTTATCGAGGATCATTCTTTGCCCTACATGTTTGCATTTTTGTGTCACCGCTTGGCGTATTGCAGTGACGTGTATGCAAATGAGCCGAGTTGACAGACAGTGGGAAGCCATACAGTGCAAAGGATAGGTGGACTCAAGTAGGTAGGCTGTGTGTGTGTGTGTGTGTGTGTGTGTGTGTGTGTGTGTGTGTGTGTGTGTGTGTGTGTGTGTGCGCGCGCGCGCGTGCGTGTGCGCGCGTGTCCCCACAGCACCGCACAGACTGGTCATGTATTTGTAAACACATTCAGAAATAATCATAGAGCCTCATATGGTCGGGGATTTCAAATCATGAAGCAAACGCTCCTGCTGTTACGCAAAATTGTGACACATTTCGCGTGAGAATGACATTTTGGCAAAAAAAAAGTCTGCTAAATACTGATGACATGTCAGACGGGCTATTGAGCAACACCGTGTCTTGAAACACCATTCATTCAAAGAAATTGCACAATGACGGGATTGCGCATACCTTGCACAGTAGCTCATCTCCAGTGTCGGTGTTCATCGCGCTGTGCATGCTCTCCCGGTCCGCCAGAGGTAGAAGCAGAAACGGTCCTATCCTGGACGGTCCCTGGTGGGTCGCCGGGGGAGGGTTTGAGACGGGGCTGACCGGGGAGCCAGGAGAGGTGCCGAGGAGTCCCTGCGTGTCCCCCGCCTCGGCGCTCAGCCTGGCGCATTTCGCCGGCGGCTGATCGTCGGAGTCCAGCCGCTTGTGCGCGACTCTCACGGCGCGGATGCAGGGTGCCGGGCTGCCCCACTGCAAGTTCATCCTGATAGACCGATTCACCATGAAAGCAAACAAAACGAGAGCTGTTTAGGATGTGTCCTTCGATGGTTAAAATAAACTACAAACGGTGCGCTCCATTTCTCCGCGTGAGACTCATTATAGTTGAGATATAAATGAAACTTCAGCGGATTCTGTGACGGCGTGCGTTTTTTTTTTCTCCCTTTTTTTATGTGGTAATAATCCAAGCCACGTCCTTTCAGAGAGTGAATGCCCGCGGCTCTGAGGTCTGTGTACTTTTGGTGAGAAAATCCTGATCCGCGAGAGCCCAGACTGAGAGAGAGGGAGAGAGAGAGAGAGAGAGAGACAGAGAGAGGGAGAGACAGAGAGACCGCCTCACACTCATAGAGAGGCAGAGAGTGAGTGAGAGCTCCGGTGATGTTGAGCTCTGAGCTCAAACACTCCGCCCGACCAGTCCAGCCTCCTGGTGACACAACCATTGAGCAATTCTGTAACGGCACCGACTCCAGCTCCAGCTCCAGCTCGCCTCTGATGAAACTGCCTGCTGTATTACCTTTCGCACAAGACTGCCAGTGTGAGCACATGGTTCAGACATTATAATGTTATTTCTTTTTCTGTGTTTTCGTCACGGTGTAATGAATCTCTGAACTCCTTAAGATTTTGAATGAAGAAACCACCGTGGCCACTTATGATGGCTGCCTCATCAAGCACGCACATGTTTTAGACAATAATTAACAATCTTTCAAACTCTTTTGTCTGACTCAGTTGTTCCTTAATGTTCACCTCTTATTGCCATTTATTACCCGTTGCAACAGTCTCTCCGGAACTGTTTGCTCTCCAAATCTTAGGCCTCCAGTGTGAACTAGTCAGTACAACTGCTCCAGTGTATAAACCTTAACTCTAGCTTTAACATCACTGTGATATTTTCCCATGCTGGGCCTTGTTTGTTATGTGGATATGACTCACCCCCATAAAGCCTTACTGGTGCTGGGCTATAAGCATTCACATAAAATAGCCTATGCCAGCACAGCTCTGTAAACTGCACCATAGCAGCTGGGCTCCCAGAGACACTGATCCTAAGTTAAAGCTACATGTATACCCAGATACCAACAAAAAGAAACAAGCCAGTGCTGTGCAGTCTGTGTGGAAAAAAAAGAAGAAGCATAATCAGTGAACTATGGACTATTACTTAAGGATGTATCAGAAATTGAAGGGTGAAGTGCAGTATACAGTCAGATCCACAAACATTCCTGTGATGAGTGTTGCGATGAACTGTAGGTATGAGGTAATTAAATGTGCGTGTTTGTGTGTGTTTGTCGGGGTGTGTGCATACGTGTGACCATGTGCCCGTTGTGCAAGAGTTCTCTTTTTTTCTTCTTTCCACTGCTTTATGTCGAACAAGCGCAGTGGCAGCAGTAGAGGCATACTGAGCGTTCACTAAAACACAGAGCACCAGCTGGCCTGTGTGTGTGTGTGTGTGTGTGTGTGTGTACGTGTACGTGTGTGTGTTTGTGTTTGTGTACGCACTATCACCCTTCTTTTGTGCAGCCCCCAGTCCTGCCAAACAGAAGCGTGTCGTCCCAAACTGTTCCTTTCCACATTTCCAACACGGCTCCTTCCACAAGAGGTGAGACACTTAACCAGGTCACAGCAGCTCGGCTCAGCTTGACTCAGAAAGGTCATGTGAACCTGTCTCTGCAGGCCGTCCAAACATGGACGAGCCGCAGAGTCCATAGAAATGATGGCTGTTATTTTTAGGCCTCGCATTCTTTCTTTGTGCAGTGGTCGTCCTACGAATAAGGTGACTCACCAGCTGATTGATGTGTGTGCGTCTCTGTGAGCAAGTGTGTTTGTCATGCCGTCGAGCAGGCACAGGAACAGGTTTCCTCTCTCGCTGCGGTCTCCCTGCCTCTTTTTTTTTTTTTTTTTTTTTTTTAAGAAGTTCAAAAAGCAGGATGAACAGTCACTGTGGGAACGAGTAGCAGAGGTACAGCAGGCCGAAAGGTTTATTGTTATCTGACAATAGTCTGGATCCGGTGTGCCAGCGCATCAAAGTGATGATGTATGTTTGTGTGTGTGACACAGTGTTTAGGTGTACACTGGAAAAAGTGACTTATTTGTGTTGGCTGTGATTAAACAAAGTGTGTGTGTGTGTGTGTGTGTGTGTGTGTGTGTGTGTGTGTGTGTGTGTGTGTGTGTGTGTGTGTGTGTGTGTGTGTGTGTGTGATATAACGATTTGTCTCAATGTAACTGAGAGTTCATGCTGGAATCATTACACCAGGTCACACCATACTACATGTTGAGGCTGTGCATTACTCATATGCAAGATAGTTTATGTTGCTGGACTCCAGCGTTTACCTCATGATGTACGTGGGTGTGTGTTATATGTGTGTGTGTGTGTTTGTGTGTGTGTGTGTGTATATACAGTGCCTGTGTAGGAGTGTGACTGCATCTCCATACCAGTGAGCTAGAAGAGAAAACAGTATTCAGGGCATGCTCTCCCTTGTAATAATTAGCTGAGTCACTCACCACCAGCAGCGGTAAAGGGAGGCTGGGAATTGATCTGCTCTGAGAATAGTTCAATCTGCTCTGGCTGACAGCCAACCATCGCTGTGAATTATTCTTCATTTGAGCTGCTCCGTCACATTCCACATACGCACACATGCAGACATGATAAATGAACAGAGCTGTAGACTTGAGACTAGAGCGTAGTTATGAAAATCGGGACTTGCAGTTCGGCTGTCTGATCAGTTTTGATCAAGTACGACCCCACTGAAATAACTTTTAAATGATCCCTGCCACAGGCTTGCATCAACCAAGGGCTTTGCTCTCAGATGCATCTTTTTGTGTGGATAAGGAATAATGATGATGTGTAGATGTCTAATGATGCGATGAACCAAACAAATAATAAAAAAAAAAAACTGTAAATTATTCCACAAAAATACACAGCCAGCTGCTTTGACAGTATTCATTATGATGGAGGAGGCACTAGCACACCTGCTCACTCCGCTTTATGTGATCAACAGGCCTTTTTCCCAGCAGACAGTTTGACTTGTCATAGCAGAGAAAGCACAGATGTTACTAATAACTTCAAGTATCTCAGTGATGCTACATTCACAAAGTGTTGGAAAAATGGGAAAGGCAAAAAAACAACAAAAAAAAAACAACCTACCATTAATCCAAGTTGGGAGGCGTTCCTGCTTTATTCATAGATTGTTTCACTCCACAACAAGCCGGGGTGTCACATCAGATAACTCGCTGAAATTACCTTCATGCATTATTGTGTTTGCAGTAGTTTGTGCACAGTTAAAAACCATAAACAAATAGTGTATAGCTTCTTTTTCGATAACTGAATTGAATGTGTTTGTGTTAATATTTGGTTTTATTTAGATGTAGCCATTTTGGTTTATTGGCACCAAGTGGGAGAAAAATAGTAGCTGTCAGATATTCCCGATATCTCCAACTCAGAAAACTATGAGGCTCATGTGAAAGATTTTTTTCAACTTGGCTGCTTGTAATTACGGTCTGGGCAATATGACGGCGAGCCAGCGTGCACAACACCAGGACCCTGAAACTGAAGCAGTTAAATGGAATTCAGCCATGATTGATTTCTTTTAATTTACTCCTGTACTACTTCAAATACTCTATATGCTTACAGGGAGCCTACAATACCCCCACATGTGCCAAACTAGGGCTGGCTAAGTTTAATTCACCTTAATGATCATTCACATTCACATTTGCTAAGTCATGTCATTAAATCATGCTGATTAATGATCATCTTGGAGATGTACGTAGGAAGATATACTGTATATAAGCCAAAAATCCAGTCACATTGTACCACAAATACAAATACTCAACAGCAAAGATGCAGAGATCAGATCAGTATTCGTGTGACAAAGTGTCTACATGCAAAAGTAGCTTATTCCAAACATGGTAAGTAATGTAATTACATCTGAACTTTGACCCCATTGTTTAGCATCTGAGAAGGGTCACATGAGGATAGAAGGAAGGATGCTTTATGCAACAGTAGTCTTTTGACAAGTTCATTATCTTCCTCTATTGGTTTTATAACGACTGCTGCCACTGTGTCTTTTATGAATTTTGTGAAGTAGAACTTGTTTTCTGCAGATGTCTGGTTGTGTCTGCTGTTACCATTGTATCTGTGGACAGCTGACAGTTTGCTCTGAATGTAGAATTAGAGTGTGGGAGATAGAAGTGGGCCAGTGGATATTCAACTGTATGCTTGCAATAAAAATGATTGAATTTCTATTCAGAGTGTAAATTCTGCCTCTAGAACAAATAAAAGAAGGTCTTATATGAGGCGTACTGCGCCTCTGGTCTACTCTATATCTTGATATAAGCTCCTAGACTCTTTGAACTGTTTGAACTCGAGTGTTGAGGTTTCATCCAAAATTAGTCATCAGCCAGCTATAACCATCTCTACTGAATATGCTCTATATTTTCACAACCTCGGCTGACCTCAAGGACAATCAATCAAACCAGGAGCCGAGATGGGGAATTGTTTCATGTGGATGGACTCCAGACTGTAGTCTGGCCAAAAATCTCTGCCTTCTTTTGCTAGTTATCCCAATCTGTCCATCACTATTCCTTTGATCTGCTCGCTTCAGTTAATGTTGGTTAGACTGGAGAGACTGAGTTCTTGGCAACACAGATATTTGTGCAATTCAAAACCCAGTTTAGGTATAAAACATTGTTTGGATTTTTACAATATGCTGTGCTCGGGACTTTACAACACATCACAACTAATTGTTTTTACATCGGAACACACACCTACACATTGTTCCCCAATGATTCAAAACATTTGTTCTCACACAGGGGAGTTGTCATGTTTGCACACACTCAGCACAAAGACTTCCTCAAAGGTCCTCTGAGAAGTTGTAAAGCTTTAGTCGAACATAAAGTTCTCCATCTACTGTCCACGGCGTGTTCATGTGAAGTGGTCGCTTTCAAAAAATTTAGCTGTAATCTGTAAGAAAAAGAAAAAAGAAATGCTGACCACAATGAATTTACTGTAGATGGAAATGTTCATTATGCTCGTGATCACATGACCTGTTTGGTTGATGCGCTTTTTGTTTCATACTGACACTGACACTCCTCCACACTGCCTCCAGAGCAGCTCCAGTTCTACAGGAGGAATTAAAACACCATTCTTCCAAAAGATAGTCCCAGATTTAGTTTGTCTTTATTATAGTTTGGAACATTGCTGACACACTGATCAATAACATAATCTCCCATAGGTGTTCAGCTTGGTTGAGATCTGGTGACCGTGAAGCATATGATTCACATCAATTTCAAACTCATCAGACCATACAGAGCCTTGTGTGAAAACAGCTGCAACTGTTATATTTTTCCGCTCATTT